CAGCTACCTTTTTTTTTTTTCTGGTTGTAGTTGTCATTGTTGTTTGGCAGGCCCAGGCTGGGTTCAAACCCGCCAGCTCCAGTGTATGTGGCTGGCAACCTAGCCACTGAGCTACAGGTGCCAAGCCCTGTATTGCTTTTTAATGAGTATTTTTATTGTTGTATTTTTTATTTCTTTTTCTTGAATATTTTTGATTTACAGTTGGATAAACTGCAGATACTGGACCCTCAGATACAGAGGACTGACTAAAATTAGAAACCCATAACACAAGTAATAGAGAGGAAGAACAAGCTCTATCCCAGACTTCCAAGATCTGAAAAAAGGAACTTTGTACTGCCTACTCTAACCTACTGAATTTGAATCACCTGCCAACAGTACATGTACTACGTATATGTAGTTGTCACTGACCATAGAGATTTTCTAGGTTCATATATTATTTTTACATCAACATGAAGTCTTTGTCTATGTTTATTTGAAAACTCAATGACAGAAATTATAGATATTATAATATTAAGTTCCTAATACTGCTAAGGTTAATAAAACATTTGAGTGCATTTAAGCAAGCAAATTTAGACACTGCAGAAACACTTTTTTTAACATTACTAGGAACTGTAATAAAAGAGGAAAGCAAATGAAAAGGCATTATTTTGCTGGACGATTTAGCCCATAAAATGATGACATGGCAAACTCATTGTTTACACATTATATACTATGATGTATTTTGTACAAAACCGCACACTGCTGAATCATATTGTGCATGAGATGCATTACTCATAAGAATAGAAAAGATGACATTCAGTCATAGACAATGTCCTCTCATGATGGAAACATCCAGGATTCAGAGATTTCTCAATCACATTTCTCTAATTATCTTTTTTTCAATAGTATAAGTATACCGGATTATATATGGTACATATTTTTTGGTCTTTTTCTACTTAAAATTCTAGGCTCTCATGTGGTCTGGGAAATCGTCATTGTGACAGAAGATCAAGATCCAAAGATGTGACTAAAGCAAATGATTCTTAACTATCATTATATTTTTCAGTTAATATTCAGTAACAAATTTGCATTTGACATTGTTTTCACATCCTATAGAGATTTAAAATGAAAATATCTGTGGCTGAATGTTAATTGATCATTAAGTGGAATAGGCTGGGTTAAAAGGTGATACTAGTAACTTTGCAATTCCTTTCATACATCTGAGTTACTACAAAATGTAATCATCACCACTCCCCCCCCCATACATTTCAGTTCCTCATTGTCAATAAGAAGAGTATTTTTCATTACTTTTTTTAAAAATGTACAAGATAAAGGAGTATATGTGGCTTTTACATGAAATAGAGTGATATGACTCCATGAGCATGTAAGAGTACTAAGCCGCTAAGACCACCCACAAGTTCAAGTCCATATACTTGTTAATTAATGTATTCAGTCCCAATAATTATTCAGTGCAACAGATTGTCTGCCTCTGACCATTTATTCTATATCAGAACAATACTCTTGGTTGGTATAACCTAATAACCTTCAAATTTCTCCTCCATCACAAAATCCTATCAATGCAGAGGCAGTGCTTCATGAGAAAAGACTGGACCCAATTTCCTGACTTCCTAATTCAGCCTAGTGTATGTATTCTCTCCTGATGGGCAAAGGAAAACATTTAATTTGCATGCTATACTAGTGTGCTTTCCGTCCACAATGTATGTGCATGATTTCATTTGCTTCTCACTAACCTATCAGAGACAATTGGTAATTATGTATAGTAAGTGCGTAACACTAAACACAGACCAGCACAGAATGCAAAAATCCCTCATTCTACAGACAACACTTCATTGTAGTAACTCAATATGGGGACTTCATAACACAATTTTTTAAGTTTCTCTAGGAGCTAAGTAGAATGTCCAGAGTGATTCTGCCAAAGGTAACAGCAATGCCATTACCAAACCTAGTGAACAAAAAGATGCAGGCCTGCAATGACACTGATTATCCTCTCTCTAATGAACACAAAGTAATTATAAGGACCAAAACTCAAGCTAGGACAGTCTGCCTAATCCAGGGAAAGAATCATTCATGCCACACAAACATGTCATCATAGCTATTGAACTGGAATTACCAGTATGAAGTTAAAAAGCTCCACAGCTTCTAATGCAAAACAATCCAAGAACTTCAATCCCTGACGGTTTGAAGGTCACGATTGTAACCCACAATCTAACAAGTTAACACTACTTCTAGTCTCAATAATTCCCATCTTACACTGTAACCAGCACCACCGACCATATCCCAGTGAAACCAACCTCCACACCTCCCCTAAAGCCATAGTACGAAAATGTATCACCACTAAAGGGCCCTCGAAGTCCCACCAGCTTGACTTGCTCTTAAGGGTGCAGATTAAGCACAATGGTAAATCAAAACAAAACGGCCATGATCAACCAACACCCACTCTTCCACGAACTACAAGCTCACCCCGCACAGTCAGCTTAGGGTCACCCTTCCAGCCCCAGGTTGGGTAACGATCTGAGGTTATCTTTCCTGAGTTCACTCTCACTGAGGACGAGGAGCCAACTGTGCTGCGTCCGCACAACTGGAATTGTAGCCTGGAGACAGAATCAGGTTCTCAGCCACCTAACACCCAAGCGCAGGGAAAGCTCAGCACCTAGACTGAGGCCGAACAGTACGTGCCCGCCCCGCGGTTAGCTCGGAGCTTCCGGTCAGCACTCCAGAGTCCCTCGCGACCACTCCCCCCTGGCCGCCCCGGAGGGCGCCGGCGCCCCCTGCCAGGCGGGCAAAGGATACAGTCCCGGCTCCAGAACGCCGCGGCGCGGGGGCGTGAGGGGCCTGCCACGTCCGCCATCTTCAAACAACCGCCACTCCGGGCGTCGCGCCGGGGCCGCCACGCCCCGGCCTCCGGCCTCAGTCCCCATTGGCCGCAAAGCGCAGAGGCCCGCCCCCGCCTGCGCCGCTTGCCCCGGCGGGGCGAGAGGGTCCGGGCGGCCGGGAGGCCGTGTGCCGGTGGTGCGGTGTGGAGCACAGGCCAGGTCAGCGGGATCGAGCGCCCCGCGGAGCTACTGCTGCCAGACCAGCCCTGGGCCCCCATGTCCACCCCGCCGCGCTCTCAGGCACCGAGAACTACAGCTCCCGGCATGCCGTGAACTTGACGGGCGAGGCGCTGAGGCGGGGTCGGGCCCTCCTCCCGCCCGCCCCGCACTCCACACCTGGTCCCGCCGCTCTCCCGGCTGCGCGCGGAGCGGGGACGCGAGCCATGGAAAAGACGTCGCCCCCGCTGCTGGGCTGCAACAAGCCGCACCTGGAGAAGCTGACCCTCGGCATCACCCGCATTCTAGGTGAGTGGGGACCACATGCGGTGGAGGGCGGGAGACGGGCCCGAGCGGTTGTGGAGGAGAAGAAAGGAAGCGGCGGTCAGTGAGGTTTGGGGTGGGCAGCACGACGCTGGACCTTGTGTGTGAGTGGCCATCCCTACTGCGACTTCCGTTGTTAAGGAGGAAAGACCGGCAGCCAACAGTGTTCGGAGGCAGAGCTGGGAAGCCCAAAGGTTTCCTCCATTCATTCAGACCTCAAGTCCCACCCTGGGTTTCCAAGAAGGAAGGGCAGAGAAGTGCAAAGGGGCGACAGTAAGCACCTGACATTTGGGAGGTGGGTCTCCCAAAAGGCATTCTTAGCCCCGGGAGTATCGCTGAAGACCAAACCCTTCTTCTGGTAGCAGAATGAGCTGGGGAAATGATGCAGCCAACCTCGCAGGGGAACAACTATCACAGGCCTGAAGAGGTAGAAAGCAGTCAAAGCTTGCACCACCAAATGGGTTAAGGGGGGTTAGGGCTTTTCTCTTACTGAACATTGGTTTAGTACACACCCCTATGTTGGAATCTGGGGCTGCAAAGATGAAAAAGACACAGTTCTGTGAAAAAAAAAAATAGACAGGGACCATCAAAGTGTGAAAGGAGGTCATTAATCTATTGTTCAGAGTTAGCACAGAGGAAGAGGGGACTGACCTTATCTGGAAAGTACATCTTCCAGCAGAGGTGATGCTACATTTTGAAAGCCAAATGGGAGGTAGTAAGAAAACCAAGGAGGAGAAAGATCACCTAGACAGGCTGAGAAGCAACTTCAATGCCTCCCCATCACAATTATTATAAAGTCCAAATATCTGTACCATGACCCACATGTCCTTGTGTAATCTGCTGTCATCTGTCTTTTCAGACTATTTTCACTCTGTTTTGACCTTGCTGTACCTTAAATTCACTAAGCTTATCCCTGCTTCGAGGCCTTAGCAATATGCTAGAACCTCCACCTGGAATTAGCTTCCTCTGAAAGTCTTTCTTCATGTCATTCAGACCTCTGGTCAAATATTATTACCTCAAAAAATCCTTCCCTGAATATAGCTCTAATAACATCCTTCCCTGCTGATCCCTTTTCCCCTGCCCTATTTTTTTTTTAATCTTCATAGCACTTATCACTACTTGGAATTATGTATTTATTTGATTGCTTTTTAAATGTCTCTTTTCTATAATAGATAATCCAAGACCAAGTGTGATTTATCCTAGGAATGTGTGGTTTGTTTAACATATGAAAATCAATTAATGCAATATACATTATTAATAGTTTAGAAGACAAAAATCACATAATCATCAGGGGCAGAAAAACCACTTGACAAAACCTAACACCCTTTCATGATCAGGAAAAAAACCCCAACAAACTAGAAATTGAATAGAATAGAGATAGAACTTCTTCAACCTGATAAAAGCCGTCTACGAAAAACCCACAGCTAACATCATCCTTAATGGTGAAAGACTGGTAGCTTTCCCCTTAACATCAGGAATTGTAAAAGTGTTAGTAGTCTCTAATACCACTCTAAGTCGGATATTCACTAGGAGGATTATAGGACTCCGGAGACAGTCATACTCATGGCTGTGATTTATTACAGCAAGAAGAAAACCAAATCAGCAATGGGAAAAGTGCACATGAGGAAGTCAAGGAAATTAGATGCAAGCTTTCCATAGTCTTCTCCCCGTGAAATCACAGAGGACACAATTTCTCTAGCAACATGCTGCAACAACATGTCTGAAATATCTAGTAGAGAAACTCACCTGAGCCTTTTATTGGAAATCAGTTATGTTGGCACCCTCTGCCTAGTCAGGTGCCTGTGTGCAATATGTACCAGAATTCCAGACTCCCTGAAGAAAAGCAGGTGTTGGGCTTAAATCATACTGTTTGTATGAACACTTTAGGTATAATAAGCCATTCTTGTCAGGGAATGGTGGGAACCCGTACAAGATCCAAGGTTCCAGATGCCAGCCAAAGGCCAACCATAGATAATCAGGCCTTTTTAAGGATTGCTTCCTTGGGCCTACCATGTTCCCTTTTTTTT